AAGGACAAAGAATTTGCATTTGGGGCCAATAAACAAGGATCTAGTTCAGTTTTGCAAAGCAACTCCATGTGGAAGTGTATGTTTTTCTACAAGTCTGTAACTTTGCACAGTTGTTTGTGTGTCCCTCTGTGTGCATTTCTGTTCAGCGTTTTATAACAGTTCTGTATGGATGCATTGCATCTGTGTGTATTTGTGTGGAGGTATGTGCATGTGGGGAAAAGTTGCTGAATAGGTGTTACCGGGATGAAATACTAAATGTGGTGGGGATCCATAAATAATGCAGTGGCCTGTCTCATATCCCTCCCTGACTGCTTAGCACCGTTTACTGCTGCTTATCCTGTGTGTGTGTGTGTGTGTGTGTGTGTGTGTGTGTGTGTGGTTTAGCCTGTGATGTTCAGTGGTTTGTGTTTGTGTGTTTGTTGTTGTGAATATGTTGTCTAAATTCAACTCTCACTGAAGTGTACACATGCTGATGTGGTTGAGAGAAGAGCTGTCCTTTGGGAAGTCTGGGGTCAAGAGGAGGCAAGTGTTTGCATCTTCTGTGAGCGACAGACCGACCGAGAAAATGGCGATGTTTTGATGTCGTGCTGTTGTTTGCAGCTCAGTATGACTCACCACAAACGTTTCAGAGTCAGTGGTGGAATGTAACTAAGTGGATTTTCTGTACATCACTACAGTTTTGTGGTTCACCATTTGATGATGCTTCATCGTTCTGCTTCACTACATTTCTGTACTTTCTACTTCACTACACACTCAAAATGTAATGCATGTCTAGAGATTTTTAAATAGACCAAATCTATAAAGTAGGTAATAGTAGCTTCAATTCCAGCAGAGTCCTCCAAACCCCCACCCACCCACACCAGCAAAGCACCATACTGGACCCAACCTGTCACCCGAGGTTAATTCTAAATGAAATCCGGATCCAACCTGACCTGTTAACATAAGACCTGCAACCCAAACCAAACCAGTAATTAAAATAGACTTTAAGATACACAGTCACTTACTTTAAACTGCTTGAGAGTTGTGTTCTTGGAAAAGTTTCTGTTGATGGACACAGCACCTGGGCTCTGCAGCTGCTCCCTTAGTGAGGAAGTGCCTCGCTTGTGGCTATCAAACGCTGACACTTCCTGGCAAAGCTGTCTGTAACCACTGAATTTCTCCCACACGTCCAAATTGGCCTTCAATGACGTATTGTCCACAATTTTGTATTAACCACTGGCTATTTTTACCTTTAGGTTATCCATTTTGACACACTGACATCTATGTTGATGTCTGAATGACGTCCTATTACCTGGATGTGAGATGACGGGTCAACAGTTGTGCCTCAGGCCTTCACAATAAATGTATCGGTTATTTAGGCCTGGTAAAATGATGCCGGATTAGATGTTTAAAAGAAGCTGCATGTGTATTTATTTATTTTTAAAATTAAAATGTTTTATTTTACTTGTTACCCAACTGCATTTAGTCTATTTTTTTTACCCATGCCTGTACCCGTGAATTAATATATACATATTTTTCACCCATTACAGATAAATTTTTAGGGGTACCCATCGGGTACCACGAGTGTCACCAGGCTGGGTACTCATCGTACCCGTCTGACTTCCAGCATCTGAACATGGCCCATAAACACTGATGCATCTGCTATAAAATCCACTAATCTTAAATTAAGTAATAGAGTATATTTTTACTTGAACAACATTTTGAATGTAGAACTTTTACTTATTAATAACATCATTTTACAATGTAGTATTTCTGCTTGTATTTGAGTAGAAAGCCTGAATATTTAATCCAACTCGAGGTGGACTGCATTCTATGCAGCTGCTTGAAGCAGGATGGGGTATGATGCAACATAACTTAATAGACATTTAATGGATGATTCCATTCAACCACAACTTGGATCTCATTTTTGTAGTTTTTGCTCTCATTGTTCTAACATTTGTACTCACAGTGGATTTGCTTAGACCTGGAATCAATACAAAAGAAGTCCAGTGGGGAGAATTGTCCTTCAAGGTTGAAAGTACCTTTAACAAAAATTTCCCTCCTTCCTCTTTTCTCAGTGTTGCAATCATCTTATTTACAATAGATCTTTTTAGTTGTTTTTCTTTCTCTTGCTCTTTGGCAGACTCTCTCCCTCCTCCTCCTCTTTCTCTCTCTTTTACCCGTCTCATAATTCTTGACATGAAATCAAGCTTTTTCCAAACTCAGCATCTCTTCTGTTCTGACACGCACACACATTACACTTTCTTCCCAGCATGCAAGTCAGGGTCCTGGAGTGTGGAATACAAATTAGGATTGCTACAGATATATTTTGGAGGCTGGGTTTATACAGTTTATTGTTTTATACATAAAGATACTGCAGCAAGTAGCTATCCCGCTCAAAGGACAATGTTTCACTTCCCCTGTATCATTTTATAACTGCAGGACGTTAATGTTATAGCAACTGATGAGTTACACATCAGCATCATTTTATTGTGTATATCTACATCTACTGTATGTGTGCCTTCCCCAAACAAATAAATTATATCAGATTTACTCAAAAAGTATTCTGTGGCACAAGGATTTAATGTAACCCAAGCACTTATGTGATACTCGACTTTGTGTGTGCTTGCAGAGATGAATGCGCTGTTAAAGCAGAACAGACATAGTATTTAACACACACACTGCATCTGCCTCTCTACCACACGAGTGTTATTCATCAGACACTTGGAGGTGCCGTCTTCATCGGCAACATTCCAAATGAAGGGGAGAACAAAAAAAAAAAAAACGGTACCCACAGAAACTCATACTTGATCAACAGAAAATATGAGACTGATGTAGACAAATGTACAAATATATCTGACATATTTCAGTGAAAATTAAATAAATGATCCTGAAACATAGGTTTTACTGAATTGTATGAGACTGTGCAGGTGTTTGTGTTATTGTGTCTGTCCACTTTATATCCACCAGCTGGACGGTTGAGAAAGTTGCTGGAGTCTGAAGCTGAAGCAGAATAGAGTAAAGTAGTCTTCTGTCTGTACCAGAGACTCATGAGAGAGTGAGAGAGAGGGAGTACTGGCTGTCTCACAGCATGACAAAAGGAGTGACAGAGGGATCCAGAGGGGTGGCCATTAATTGTTTGTAGACAGTGTGATGTAGACAACAGGCACATAGTACACACCAAAGTGCCAGTCACACTGTGTGCTTTGCGTCCAGGTCTGATCTCTGTTTTCATCTCCCCTTGCTGGTTCTTCAGCGTTGGAGTGTACGGTGTGTGCATCAGCCCATGTGCATGCATTCAGCATCTTCAGCTATTCTGTCTGAATTTGCTTTGAAAAGGTGTCTGATGGTGTTTATACTGTGTGTGTGTGTGTTACTGTTTTCTGTGTGACTCCACTTAGAGGAGGTTTAGAGTAGCCTGTCTATTTATAGTGTTAAAACATGTTGTAGTCTGCTGAGTAGTTTGACTTGGCTATATCACATCCTCAGCACAGCGGCAATAAATAAATCATAGCCTAAGCACAGACCAAAAAGTTACACAGTGTTGTCACATCAATATAATTTTTTTAAAAGTGAATGTTGCCTCTGTTTCTAGAGGAACAGTCTTGACCAAAACAGTAATACTGTTTATAAGGGGTTGATTATGAGTTTGTTCTCTTTTTCTCCAAACAGGAAATTATATCAGGGGTTGCTCACTTTCCAAACACAGTCAAGCAAGTAGCAGACAATCACAGATGCTGTTGCTATTAGAATAACATGGTCCATCGTGGATGTCATTTCGCCAAAAATAGTTGCTGAGAAATCATCTTTGGCGGTCACAATGTACTGTGCAATCACTGCTGTGTACAGAAATATTCCTTGGATAAATAAACGTTTAAGATATGTTCTTGTCTAAAATTAGTCATCTATCTGAAAGTGCTGAAAGACTCTAGTATATAATAACTTGGTGAAGTATTATTTTCACTCATTTCTGACAGAGTGTGGCTCAAACTGTGCCTTTATTTTGGAAGTGCTTGGACTGCTTTCATTATTTATCCACCATGGTGGTTTAAGCTCAGTAGATATAAAATGTTCATAAAGACTCAGTCAGACAGAGTCAAAGTCAATCAAGCAGAGCAGCGGGCGTAGTGCACAATAGATACCATAGTTAAAATACAGTAGAGCTGTGTGTGTTATGCCATTGGTGTCACAGATACATATGAGTTACCCATCTATGTCAGGGTGCATCTGCTGTAGTGAATCAGTGACATTGTCTATGACACGACACAGACTTATGACTGCTGACAAGTGAATCCGCCCTGCGACAGTAACTGTGGTGTCTGGAGGGCTGTGTGTGTAAGTATTGGGTCAGAATGGAGTCTTTGTACGTCGTGATGCTGCAATGACCTTTGACTCCGCACTCAGAAACAGATATACACACACATCTTTGTTTCTCATATCCTGTCTCTGCAAACACAGCTCTTATCTGCATTTTTGTCTGTTTGGCTGCCTTTCCCAGTGTCAGATCATATACAGTATGTATTAAATTTATTTGAATGAGCTCATTCGGTGTGTTAACATCCTCCTGGTCAACCTTGAGAAGCAAACAATACTGACGGCACACTTACTGTTTATCTGCTGCCACGAGGGAAATTGTCACAGTTTCATAGTATTATCTTAGCTGATCAGTCTTTTCCTGCTTTCTTAATTTTATTCTGCAATAAATGTTCACTTTGAATGGTCACATTTTTCTTTTCCTCCTCTTAACCTTTGCTCTTTGATTTTTCCATGTTGTTTTAATTATGTTTGGAAACACTATTCATTGACCTTATTCACTGAACCAGTGGATTAAAATGGTAAAAAAAAGTTTAAACACTGTACTTGTATTGGAAGATTTCCATATATTACACAAGGCAAGGTAGTGAACCACAGCAACAACAAATAAATATGTGCTATATCTGCATCAGCTTGACTTTTTTGAACTCACTGCACTTTAGATGGTTTCACTGTCTAATTCCACCTTTCACTTTCTCTTCATCTAGCATCTGAGCCATGTGGTGGCTATTTAGACGCTAGTGATGCCGGATACATCACCACACCTGGCTACCCGCTGGAGTACCCACCTCACCAGAACTGTCATTGGGTCATCACAGCTCCCGAGCCTTCACAGCGCATTGTCCTCAACTTTAACCCACACTTTGAGATAGAAAAACTGGACTGCAGGTAAGGACGAGGTGGATGGATGAGTGGATGGATTTTTAAACACATGGGGTTTATGGTAAACAGAGTTTACAGGACAAGGCTGGATTAAAGATGTAAAGCTTTGGAGATGCCTGAGAGGTTAGGTTGCAACTAAGGAAAGAAGAGAATTTGCAGCTACTTGTCTTTCTCTCTGGAGTTTCTGTCTTCACCACCCTGACTCTGAGTGACAGTTGTTGGGTGTAGTTGGTGAACTGCAGCCCACTCTCCTCCTGTTTCTCTGGCTTCAGTTATCCCATAATAATCACTCTGGGACCTCCCTTGGTCCCTTTCCTCTAATTATCAAAGTCTAATTACAACACATTTGCTGTTCAAGGGTGAGTTTCACACTTTGAAAGAATTAAGACAGATTAAAGTATTTGGTGTCCATCATTGTTTTTGGCTGTTTGGCTTCTGTTGCATGGTGAGACTGAAAGAAAGGCAGTCGGTTAAACAGCATGAATTTAATAGACAGCAAGCAGAGATAAAGGCAGCCAGAAAAACTTACAGGCATGCTGCAAAATGATTGAAAATCCTGACAGAGAGCTATGAGACTGGTTAAGATGCAAACACATACATAAGGTTACACAAGTAATGAAAGAGATGCATTCAGAAAGCAAAAATTGTAATAATGGTAAATGTTTAAAAGCAAATAAAATGTGAACAGCACCTTCATCAAACATGGTTACACGATGATTTACAGATAAATATAAAGGGATATTAAAACAAAAACTCTAACAAGGGATAAAAGAAGAAATGGGATTAGAAGTAACAAAAAATCTTAATGTAATCAGATCAGGTCATTTAAATGAAGTGACCATTGCTGGTAATGCCCAGTGACACATACATTATGGACAGGCTATTCAAAAAAAAAATCTCGTCTCCACAAATGTTTGTTTATTATTCTATGAGTGCATGTGAAAATGTTTCATTTTAAAAAGGTGTGTAAAGATGTTTTGGAAAAATCTGAGTGAAAATCTTAGATGCAAAACACACAAACAAGAAAATGCAGTTGTTTTTTTTTCTAAAACAGTAACTAGTGACATTTTCTGTCATTCATGTTACAGTAAATGAAGCTATTGGCCCTGTCTGGTCACTGTGATTGTAAGAGAATAAAGTACTTAGAACAAATACAAACCCACTCTCACATGCACACACCGTCCCCCCCCCCCCCCCCCCAAAATAACAGTATGTCTCTGTTCTGATGCTTCCCCATCCAGTTATTAACATGTCAGCCATATCAATTATAGATAGATGTGTTTCCCCATTCAGATTTATATAAATATATATGCTGGAAATTGAAACATCAATATTTCACTGGTTGGCTGTCTGTTGAAAGGCTGAAAGGCTGAGAAGACCCGCTGTGCTTTGCTCTGCTGTGCTTTACTTTTACACTGTGCTGTGGAAATGAACAAGACTTCTCTGTCTGGCTCCTTGTCCTCGTTATTTGTTCAGTTTTACTCTACAGTTCTTATGCTTGGCTCCATTTGATGCATAAAATACTCTTCCTCTCACCCATGCTGCACCTAGCCACCCAGTGCTGTGAGCAACAAAACTGACATACACACACACACACACACACACACACACACACACACACACACACACACACACACATGCATTCCTTGTGGGGACTTTACATTGACTTACGTTCATTTTCTGTAGACTTATCCTAACCGTAACCATAACCACTACTTGCCTAACCCTGACCCTAACCTTAAACCATGTTGCCACCTTAAACTTCCGTGACTTGGCTTTGACCAGCCTCTGGTCCCCACAAGGAAAGCCGGGTCCCCACAATGTGAGTGTGTTAACAGGTTTCGGTCCCCATAATGTAAGTAATACAAAGGCACACACAGAAACTTATGGCTGACAAACTTGTCTGTCTATTTTTGTCTGTATTTCATTGTTACATTCAGTTTTTTCTTAAATTGTCACATACAGTAAATGGAACATGGTCATAAGATTGTTTTGGCTAGTAGGTTTCATTTCTCAAGCTTGTAGATTACAGCTTTGAGAACCAAAAAACTGCTGTCTTCAGTTTATAGAGAGGTGACTACACACAGGCATTCATCTTATTAGGATAACAAATTCATGTACTGTATGTCTCTCTTCAAAGACTACGTTGTAGCTGCAAGATTAGAAGATTCGGCTCTGCCTCTCTTTATCACATAAAAAACACATTATATGGTTGCATCTGTGCCTTCACAAAAACATGTATCAACACATGCACGCTCACACAGACAGTGCACTTACAGTATGAATCTTCATGCTCAGGTCAGACAAATTGTTTTATGTCACTGTGTTGATGCAATCTAACCTATTATGGTCCTGATTGCGATTTGAGGTGTAATCTATAATGCATCACATTTTGTCAAGCACTCTGCTGACTCCACAGTCAAAATCAATGAAGGGGGTCATTAGAGAGAGAGAGAGAGAGGGAGAGAGAGAAATGTTTTCATTAAGATTCATATGCTGGAGCAGTTTGAGCGCATGGGGACAGCTGAAGCAAGTGAGGGAACTGAACAAGAAGACTGAATAACAAAACGAGCTTGTGTCCCTGATAAGATGAGGTATAGCTATGGCCAGTGATGATTCACCAGGACTTCCCTTTTTGCATCACATGACAGGCATGGAGGTACCGTGTCAATCCATCATTGTAGACAGATTTCAGTTGTCATGTACTCAGCAGCTGTTTCTGTAGCGTTTGTGCATGTTGAGAAACATCTTCTTTTATTTAATCTGAGTGCCTTATGCTTGTTGTCACTTTTAGCTAACAACACCTAAACCTGCAACTTCAGTGTGGTGTGAGGAGAACGTCGTCAGAGACAGATTTTTGAAGTGTTTACACTGTGCAGTCTCTCATTTGCTGTCATTGGAGTTACTTTGAACCATCACTTTCACTTCATCGCTGTAAGAGCGAAGCTGAATCGGTAACCTGAATACAGACAGATGACAAATTAAAGGAAAACCCTGAATGTAGGACTGAAACATAACAAATGCAGCTGCTGGCTCCACTCGCAGAGGGGACGTCACTACAAAGCTGTTCTGAGTGATCACCTTTATCTTCTGGTGAAGAGTCACCTTCCAACACGTCCTTGCTCAGACTATGAGATGCAAACTCAGGGTGACAAGGTTCAGGAAGTCACTGCACCTGCCAAGAAATAGTTTGACACATCATCCCAGTGAAACTACAGCTTGATGGTTGACAGATGAACATTTATGATGCATATTCATTGAACAGTAAGTGATATTGTACATGTGGCAACATCTAGAAAAGTCAGAGTAATGCTAATTTTCTTTCCCACAGTCCCCTGTATGTGGCTTTTTGAGGCAGCACTTGGTTGTGTACTTCATAGTTTCCTCTTAGCTCACCACACTGCTGTCTCTGAAAGTAAGATCTTTATTTGGAGTGTTTGGAAAGAATGTGTACGCATGTGCGCACGCACACACACACATCTGCTTAGGAAAAAGTGCAGCGTCAGGGGTCTGTTGAGGGTAGGTTCAAATCATCCTGACAGTCACCTCCTCTCCTTCGCTCTCTCCTCGCCTCTTTCCTCCTCTTTCCAGTGGACCCCATCTATCATCTTTCATTTGGTCTTGTGCCTTTCTCTGACCCACTTTCTTTTACTGCCTGCATGCCCACTCTTTTATGGACTCTCCTTTTGTCCTCCTTTTAATCAGTCTCATGTCCCTGCTTCCATCTAATTTGTCTTCCTCTTTCCTTCCCTTCTCTCCTTCTTCTCGCCTTGTTCCTTCTGCAGTGAGACATCATTATTCAGCATTGCTTATGAAAAAACCATAATAAGCCAAATGCCATGCACTCCTTCTTCACGCTCTGTCTCTCTTATTTTCTCATTTCCTTGTCTCTCTCACTGTCCTTAAATGCATTTAGCCCTCTCTCATTATCATATAAGCTTTTCCCCTCCTTTCCCCCCCTCCTTTTCTGAGTCTGGCCATCACTTAAGTCCTGTCTCTATCACCTCTTGTCATCCTCTCCTCATTCTCCACCATCTCTGGTCCTCCTTTACCTCAGTTCACACCCAGATGCTCTTTGTAACAGCGATATGAGAAGCACACACATAGAAACAAACAGGCTCTCATGCAGCACAGGGACATAAGCTTGCATAAACACAAGTAGAAATGCACACACCGGGCTCTAAAATAAACTCATATACTGTACAGTGTAAGCACAAAAGGCAGACAGGCATGTAGGCAGTTTCACAGTTATGTGGCTTCCACAGTGTGGAATAAAGCAGTGAGTTAAGAAGTGATTTACAGTACATGACAGAGACGCTGCAGACAACGATGATGGTTTCACTAATGATTTAGACCTTGTCTTTGTACTCTGCTTCTATCAGTCATTTAACTTCATGCTAGGTCTGTTTCTTGTCCTCAACACTTCTCCTCTCTTTATCTGTTTTAATATGAACTTCACAAAAGCCCCACTGCTCCTGAAAAGTAGCTTATGGTGAAAATCTCAGTGTATTTAATCACACAAACCCAAAATATGTGATGTGATACTGGCCTTAGGGCAGAATGAGAACGTAAAAGGGGTGGAGGTAT